TGTAGACGCCGATTTCGCCGGAGAGCGAGATGCAAAATCCACGTCCGGAGGATTCTTGATTTTGAGTGGTCCGCACACGCATTTTCCGCTTGCGTGGGTATCCAAAAGGCAGACATCGGTCTCCCGGTCAACGACCGAGGCGGAGATTGTATCTCTCGCATACTCCCTTTATCAGGAGGCGCTCCCTGCGCTTAGCTTGTGGGAGCTGATCTTGGACCGACCATTCCATCTCAAGATCCACGAGGACAATCAGGCGACTATCCTCGTAGCAAGGAAAGGTTTCTCATCCAAGCTACGCTGTGTCCAGCGAACACACAAGGTGAACCTCGCGTGCATCGCAGAGCAGCTTGAAAGCGAACACATCTCGATAGAATACGTCCAAACCGACATGCAGTCAGCGGACATCTTCACGAAAGCACTTCCACCCAACAAGTGGGACCATGCCATCCGGTTGCTCGGCATTCGTGTTGACCTTCCAGAGAAGCTTGAAGACGTTCGTGAAAGTAGGGCCGCTAAAGCAGCTGCCTAGTGCGCTGCAGCATGTCCGCAAATTTCCAAAAGTGTGCAAAGTGCCTGGGTGATGCTTGAATAACTTGTGTCAGTCGTTGTGATGTAAACTTGACTTCAAGTTGGCGTGGTAATGCGCCCAAGACACTCCCTCAGTGCCGTCAATGAGGGGGGAGTCAATTATCACGATGACATTTATGGCCCAGAGGTACATGAGGTAGGTTCTCATGTAGTCAGTTGCATGTTGTACATTCAAGTGGTTGCCAAAGCATGATCCAATCACTGCTTTGGCTCAAGTGCTGAAAACAGCGCGTTGCACCGCGCTAGCCCCAAGGTTAAGGGAGAGGTCGCAGTCACGGAGGGGTTCGTTCCTTTTAAGGTCCTGGGTTCCCCCGTTGTTGACAAAACTGTGTTTCCCTCTCCTTTGAGTTTCTCTAGTTGTTTCAATTGACGGGCGACAGGGAATGTATGCGAAACAAACAAACGCAACAAGGTGGCCAACTGTGAACCTGAGGTTCCTTGTCAAAGCTAGTCTGTTGTTAGTGGAGTTCGGCATGGGAGGTTTGCCTACAATTTGAACAAAGCTGTTGGTTCCCAAGAGCCAGCCCAACCTAAACCTATTTCTACACCAACCTTCCATGTTGGTTGCGGGGATTCCCTGGATATGTTCATCATTTGCCAAAAAAACGCAGACGCGGCCCGGCCGGCTTGACGACCCATCGCCCCGTCGCTTGAGTTGTTGGCCAAAAAATTGCACCTCCCCCGTTCGGCAGGGGTCCTCTCGGAGGGGTCTGTAGGGTTCCTGTCGTTGTTTGCAGGTGGAGGACTGCTGCGCCGCCTGGCTGCCTTTAGCACATTGCGTGATCAGGGCCTAGACGGTCTGGGACTTGACAAAATGCTTAGTAATCCTGATTACAGCCCACTTCGGGGACTTATGTACTGCCATTTAATAAGGGAGGGGTATTTATTGTAGGATTTGTTTTTTTCCTTTTTGGCTTCTTGGCTTCTTGGCTTTTTGGCTTCTTGGCCCTTCTTGGCTTCTTGGCTTTTCGGTTTCTTGGCTTTTTGGCTTCCCGGCTTCTGGGCTTTTCGGCTTTTTGTTGGTTTATGCGGCTTTTGGCGTCTTTTTGGCTTTGGCTTTTCGCATCCTCTGCATTCCCAGTTCCTCTTCGGCAGGTGGCGTTTTGGCTTTTGCGTTTATGCAGCTTTTGGCGGCTTTTGGTGGCTTTTGGCGGCTTTGCAGGGGACCTTCGCATGCAAACGCACGGCAGTTTCTGAACCCATTGCACTAAGAACTTTCGAGCAATGACCGACACACCTGAGGCCATTCGATGAGACCTTCGGAGGCACTTTGATGAGACCTTCACCGCCAGAGCGGCCTATTATAAAATGCGTCAATTTCGCGAGAAAATGCTGCACAATACGATATTTTACTACGAAAAACAAAAACTCCCAAATCAAATAAAGGGGGGGGGCTGCCGCCCCCCCAACCCCCCCCGCTACTTTTTAGTGATTCTTTACAGGGACTGAAATGCCCTCCTGTTTGAATCATCATTTTTTGACAACCCGCCAGCTACTTTTTTGATTTTGTTACCCACGATTTGTTGGTGATGCTAGGGATGTTGGTCGGACATGCGGGGGATGTTGAAAACGATGCTGGGGATGTTGACAGGCTAGTGTAAAATGCGTCAATTTCGCGAGAAAATGCTGTAAATACGATATTTTGCTGTCCCAGACGAAAAGCGACAAAAATCACAAAAAACAGAAACATCCCAAAACAAATCCGCACACTTTAATAAGTGGGCTGTAATGAACCACTTACATCAGTTGCCCTGAGGGGTCATGTGTGAGCAAGTACCCCATGTGCAGCTTGGAACTACAGAGCTGTACCCATTTGCATTCTTGCCCTGAGGTGTTGTGTAATTGTGAGGTAGCCTTCCAGCTGGATTCCAACCAGAGTTCCCTTTGTGTGCAAGGGTGCAACAGTGGGACTTTTGTTGCACAGCTGGGAATGTGTGAGACAACGCACGCTAAACTTTCTTTATCCTAAGTCAGACCACAAATGTCAAGAGGATGTGTGATGTATCTCTGAATTTTGTCCAGAACCCCTATTCGGTACCCAGAGAAATGCCAACTTGAGAACAAGCAGCCGCGCGGTCGCGCGGTCAGGAAAGCGGCTGATGATTCTGATTGAGGTGAGGCGCGTTAATTAATTTCCACTTCGGATAAACATATTCTGATCCATGAGGGGTTGTGCCCGGACGTCATCCTTTCTCTGGAGGACTCCTTTGATTATGTTTCTCCGCATGAATCCGAAGTAGACATTAAGATATATGTATGCCATGGTCGAAACTTTGTTTTTTGCTTGGGGTTGGTAGCAACAATCATGAACCCCGGATGTTACACAACGATTTTACTGGCTTGTATGGCAGCCATGACAAGACAGGAGTTTTGACCATGGCTATGCTTGCTTGCCAATGAGACTGGGTTCTCGCAGGCCAAAAGCGCTTCGTTGGGATCTTCTGGAGAGCAACCTGTTTTTAAGCTTCCCAAGCCGAGTGCGTGGGGAAACCGTCAAAGATAAAGCCTAGATGAAAAGGAATACCTGGTGGCCATCGCTGGAAGCACTGAAGGGCCTGGTATTCTTTGGAAGTGGTGTGCAATCCTGAGTCGTCGACCTCTCCAAATGGGTGGGGAACCATATTTCTCGCGAATGTCGACCCCTGATTAGTGAGCCTACATTATTGGGCGGTCCCCAAGAGTAAAGCTTTCCCTCGAAGAATGACCCGAGGAGAGGTTTTATTCATCCTGGGTTCCCCATTATCATCATTATACGTCCCCGCTTTCTTGGCACAATTCCTGCGTTTCAGAGCACGTTTGCCTTTCCCAGCGGAAATGAGTTTCATCAACCGAACATCCAGGCCAAAGAGAGCTGATGACTGCCAAACTTGCAGCTTCCACGGGGTGAGAAGAAATACGTCCTGGTTCACTAGCCTTAATTGTTAAGTCCGAACGAGGAGATTCGGTGCAACAAGGGCAACATGCGACTAAATGTCAAGCCAAATAAGGCCAACTGAGGTCCTAACAATGCCAGATGGGTGCTGCTTGTTCTCTTTTAGATGTGCGAGAGGATCCGACGGGAGCGTGCGAAGCTTGGCCGTTCTAAAAAGAGTGTCATGCTCCAAGGCGTACATTGGGTGGGATCTTTATGGCCATTTTGTGGGATCTTTGGATGTAGCTTTTGGGAACAAGCAGATTTTCCATTGGACCCAAACACAGTTAAGCTTGTTGGGTCAACAGCAACCAAAGGCTTTGCTGTCTTTTCTATGGTTCAGGTTCTCTTGGAGCCGGCCACTCATTTTCAAAAACCAGGGAACCCACTCGTTTGCCCGCATTGGAGGCATGGGGGTGGGGTTGTAAGAGGCTGAACTGGGCAAGTTCCAGTTCGATGCTGTTGCGGTGTTGTTTCTTCAGCTTGTGCGCTTCGGTTTCTCCTTGTCTCTTCACTTTCTACGGGGGGCCCCGCGACAATATCATTTTGGGAATAGGGATTGGGGAACTTGTGAAACAAGGGATTCGCAATACATGTAGCCAGGATCACTTGGGCTCACTCGATGGCACCAACGTGACAGTTCTGGAACCAGCACCATGTGCTAGAGGTGCACAGTCTGATGTTCATTGCCCAGTGCCATCGAGTTGTTTTCCATCATGACACCTTGTACACATAAGGTCTTTCTGTCACAAGCGACAAGAGCAGAGCCCTACTCCATGGCATGTGGGGGGTATGTGTCAAACTAGAGACCGCTTTTGGGCCATTGCGGCTGTCCAGCGGCTGCTTCCCAGCATATGGAAGTAGAGAAGAGCGGGCAGAAGTGGACAACGGACAAGAATAGAATACATTCTATATATATATATATTAATTTACATATACATGCGTTTGCTTCATCGTAGGAGTGGGGACTCCGTGTTGCTTTGCAGCAGCATCATCATTGCCAACACTCTAGTCATAGTGGGTCGCGTGGCGTGCACGACTTGAACGTTCTCAGTGGGCTAGAGTCTTGAGCTGACTTTAGGCTGGCATGCATGATCATATCCTTAGATGGTTTCCACAATTCCTTTTTCCATATTTGTTTGGTGATCCTCACTGGCTTCACAGATGATGAATCCCCCAAGAAGGCTTCCCTTTTGCTACCAGGGTCACTGATTGCAACTGGGATTTACTTGATACCCTTCCTTTTTCTGGTGTGTCTCCTCCACCGAAAAGCTAGGATGGTCTTGGCCTGCATCGTTTGCGTCATGCACGGGCTCAGAATCAGGCTTGGGACCATCATGACACATGAGCATCGCACAATTGCCGGCATATGAACTTCACTGGGCAACACCCTGAAATGGGGTGAGTGACGTGGAACTGTATCATGAGTTACTTCCATCAAAGTGTCCCCATCAAAAAAAGCATCCCATCAAAGCTCTCCACTTTGGAAAGGCCTGGTCATCTTACGGAAAGGCGAACAAGACCCGAATGGCGCCCCTAGCCATGGCCACGTTGCCCGCCTTTGCGCAGACGGCCCGCCTCGGCGCGCGGGACGTGCGGCTCGCGGCGCTGCGCGATCCACGCCTCGGATCGCGCCCGGCGAGGCCCGAATCCGGGCAGCGACTCGGGCCGAAGCGCTGCAACGGCAGCCTGAAGCTCTCCAGAAGAATGTGATCAAACAAATAAATATGTGGAAGTTAATGGGAACTACTGGTAAATGTGTTTTTGTTGTTGTGAAAGCAGCAGGTTTGCAGGAATTTTGAAAATAAGCAGGGAATATCCAATCATTTGACCATGAGCGAATGAGCAAGAAATGAGTGGCTATTTCCGCAACATGAGTGAATGAGCAGGGGATGGATGGCCATGTGAGAATCCAATGAGCAAGTGACCAAAGTCAATGTGGCCAGGCTTCGGCAATTTTCAGATAGATGTTCGCATGCTGCGGATGAACCGACAAACAATTCGCATGCTGCGGATGAACAACTAAAGACTTTGCACCATTGGGGATGGATGAGCGCCTATGCCTGGGGCAAATGATCTACTGGTGTCTGGCACGGATGTTGCCCATCCACATACTATGAAGCCCAAGCTTTATACCAGTGAATGTGTGGATCCATATATTCAATCCCTCCGCCCCTAACGCCCAGCGCACGCCCAATCTATTTCGGCCTTACCGGTGTGCATCTGTTGGATGATCAATCTGACATAGTAATCAGATTGTATCCATGTAATGACTCAACCAACCCCTTGATTCTCAAGCAATTCCTTGTTTGAGCACAGGGAGCACGACTCGTCCCAGGCACTTGTCATCCCACTTCACTCGGCTGCTGGCGGGTGCTTCTTTCGCCGCCGCTTTCTGGAAGCGGAGCCGTCAGACGGCACGGGCTGCGCTGCGGGCCACGTCCAAAGCCGATGCCCTGAACTCGGTAAAGGCGCCCTGACTCATATGGGGAGAGCTCGTGTCTTAGCACGTGTGCAACGGTGTGCGTGTGTGGTGGCTATGTTCCGTACTGATATGCTTTTGCATGTATGTAATCATTTGTGTACATATGCCTCATGGACCCCTCAGTCGGGCACTTTGGGGGCCCTATCCCAGGATAAGCCAAGCATAGGCCCCTAATAAGACCTTAAAACTTCAGGACCCAGTCGGCCCAGTTAGGAGAAACTCGGTCATACATACATAACCGGTACTAACTATATTGCGTTTAGGTTTTGTGCATCCCTGTGTCCCCATTGCAACGAGTTCCAGATGGCTTGGAGAAGCTAAGGCCTCAAGTCCTTCTAGTTTTCGTTTGGTTGGCGCACCACGCGCCTCTAGGCCCACGGTCTATCTCAACAAATGCGCCTGTCACGGCCCAGGTCCATCTCGCTTTTTCCTGGCCGTCGAACGTGTTTTTTTGGGGAACCGGACATCCTCCAATGATTTTGCCTTTGACTCTTTCCCTGTTTCCCGTGCTTTTATTTACTTATGATGTGGTTTTAAGGTTATTTCTGTGTGTATGTATCGTGTGTGTATTTGTTTACGTATTATGGTGCCTCATTGTTATTTGGTTAACTCATTGTTTGTTTGATGTTATTTATTTATGTAGTGTGTTTTTTTCACTGGCACTGGGTTGTTGTTGTTCATTCATTATTAAATCATTCATTTATTGGGTTGTGTGTTTGCTTGTTTGTGTAGTTATGTGTGGTTGTGTGGTTATTGATTTTGTCATACGAATGTGTATTTGTCATTGATAATTTACTTAGGAATATGTTTTATCAATTTATCGACTTGTTTATTTAGTGTTTGGTTTTCAGTGTCTTGTGCATTGTTCGATTTATATAAATGTATCTATACATTTATTGATTCATGGTAGTCCTTCATGGTGTTGTGTTGTGGTATTGTATTGTGTTGTTCGTGTTTTTTGTTGTATCATATTTGTTTGTTATGTTTATGTGGTGCTATCACACATGAATATATATATATATATTTATGTACATAGTGTTATTTGCTCAGTTCGTGTTTGTTTATTTAGTTCTGTATATGTGTTTGTGTGTTTACTAATTGTGATATTCATCTATTCCTTCAGTCATAGGTTTTTGTTACTGCATGTGCTTGTTTATTTAATGGATGTGGAGGGAGGTGGAACGTGTCTCTCAGGAGGACGGCTACGCCTTGGAGAAGCTGAAGGACTTCCAGTCGGACCTGGAGGTGGTGAAGGCGGCGGTGGCGGACTCTGGCTACGCGCTGCAGTTCGCATCGGAGGAGCCCGGGGTTTGTGGAAGGGGTGTTGCCCAGCCGTGCAGACATGGTTACGAAAAAATGAGAGGATCGGCGGGGGGGAGCGCCAGCACAAAGAGGGTGTGTGTTTTAAGCGTGTGTGTCGAGCGCCCTTTGCGCAAGATTCGTGCACCCGTAAGTGGGACGCCAAGGGGCGCCAAGGGGCGAACTGGATGGAGAGGGGGTATTCCTGAACAGCTTAAGGCCTTATCCTAGGGCTTCTCCTAGGCTTCCGTGGAGAAAAAAAAACACCCGGCTGGTGATTAGCTTTGGATCCGCTTCGCTGGTTCCCAAAGCTGGCTGTGATTTGATGGTCAGTCGGGAGTCGATTTTGAGCCTTGGGAATGAACCAATGGACCGATTTTGAAGCAACCGGTGGATGGTTTGGGGTGATTCCTTCATCTGAGCACGGACCAATGAGGCGCCGTATGTTTGACGGTTCGCTGAGGAGCTCAAAGACAACGCGGAAGTGGTCAAGGCGGTGCCGTGGACGGGAGATGTTGCATTTGTTCCGGGTTCGAGTCTAAGTTTTTGGGAAGACCTTTCCGTGGTACTCTCTTCGCCAGGGTCCTTTTTAATGGAACATGTCTTCCTTATTGGACGGGAGGGCAATGTGGCAATCTGGGTCTTTGCGTTATGCCCCCCCAAGACAAAAGCAACACTCAAAGGTTGCTCTCTAGGTCACTTGGGCATTTTAGTCCTCAACAGAAAAGTTCAGACTTTTCCCGGCCGACACACTCAAGGACAGCACAAGACGAAGATGCCGGGGTCCAGTTTTTCCCCTTTTTTGAAGGTCAATTGGGTATACGTAAACAAAACGTCCGGACTGTTTTAGACGCTTCCCCTTTGGGTGGTTTTTTAGCATCATAGTTTTGAGGTGAGATTCCCTTGATAGGGGTGAGCGCAGCGGAAGTATAGGGAACTGTGGAGGTGCACGGGAAAATGGATGTAAATGGCTCGACACGGGCTTGTCCCTAAAAATTGTCAGTTTAGGAATGAACCGCCTATGAAATGCCCAGACCTCCAAGGGTGCCGTTCGATCATTCCGCAAAAGTAGTCGTTTGGAACATGTTGCTCAGTGGAATGCAGCGGGGTTCTCTTCAATATCAAGTACCACAAAAAGGATGGGACGGCTTTTTGTGAAATGGGATTCCGTGAAATCCGGCCTCAAAGGCCGGATTGAACTGGATTCGAAACCAAAAGAGACGTGGGCGACTGGGCGGATCTTGAACCTTTGATGTGTGAGGCAAAATGTGTCATACCACCAAGAAGTCAAGCGGGGGGCAACGGTTACGAATCCTCCCCCCTTGGACGAAAGTAGACCAAAGCTGGAGGTGAGCTATGCCAGGGGGGTGGAAGGAGGAGTTTGATGGCGAAGGCGGATCCCTGCAAAACATCGGCTTGCCTCAAAAGGACATGTCTGACTCGCCTGCACATTAGCATATCTCCATTTGACAGACCATCCCTTATATATATATATATATATTGGCTTTTGTTTTGATGCGTAGCAGGTTTTGACCAGTCAACACAGTCTTACATGGACACCCTACGACACCCTACATGCTTGGCTTCTTTTTGGCGGTTTCAACCACGTTCACTTATTGCAAAGGATTTGCTTGAACCGAGTTTGTCGGGTGGGGACACATGAAGCCTGAATTTCCTCCCCCGTTGCAGGGTGCCTAAATGGAAACCGAAGGGCCGCCACTCAGTTGTTGTTGCACCGAACAGGCCGACGGTTTTTGGAACATGGAGGTTTGGGTGGAAATGTGATTCGGCCTCAAGGCGCCATTCACGCTGTTTGGAACAAATCGACAGGATGATTCGGGGTCTAAGCATCCCTTGTGAGCTGCATGTTGGTCAGATCAACTGTGAGTCGTAGATACTAGTCAAACGGATCCAGCTACCTTCTGGATCTATCGGGGTCCAAAGCAAGTGTCATCCCCCCAAACATCGGCAACTCGTGGAATTTTTTAGAGACAAGCCTGGCCAAAGCCCGTTGCTAGACATAGGTTTACCTAGACCGCGAAATCGCAGTTCTGTCGGTCCGGATCTACCTGCAGACGGCTTCTGCAGAGCAATCTTCAATAAAGGAAGGGGGAGCTCCAACCAACACAGGGACCCTGCAGATAGACGTCTTCGTGTTTTTGGGGATCTAATCCCAGTGATTCCCTTTAAACAGCAAAGAACATGGCGAAGGGTTGCCAGAGGCGAAATGGATCCGGCTTTATGCGGTCTGGGAGTGATCAATGACCAGTGAATTGCTGGTGGTGTGTAAACCCTGGGCCAAACACCGAGATAGACTGCTTCTATTTCGGGATGTCCTTCGTATAGCTGAACATTGAGGAAACCCTTATGTCTTACACCCATGTAGAGCAAGGCTCATCCCCGCCGCTTTCCAACTTGAGGTTCCCGCAACTGTCGCGAGTTATAACCCACTTGCCATGTGAGTCTCTCAAGTGGGTGATTACTAGGGTTACCAGCCACTTCCCAGCACCTCCCCACGAAAAAGAGGCAAACCCACACTTGTTGAAAGTGTTGTCCAAATCGGGGGCTGCCAAAAGGCGTTCTTGGCTTCCTTGAAACCAACATGAAGAAGGTGCCAACTGCAAAAAACAGAGAATGAGGGAAGGACCCTTACAAGCCATCCCTTGCCGTTTCCTTTAAGGGAATCCCTGGGTTCATTCCCACATTCCCACATTCCCTACCTCTCGCACCTGCAAAAAAAAAATCCGAGCAACAAAAATCCGTCGAGCCGCATCGCTGCCAGCGGCCGTTGACGACTGAGGCCATCTTCGAGCAGCCGCAGAGCTTGGAGCACGCCTCAGCGCGCCTCCGCGGCGATACCGAGGCGATCGCGGATGCGGCTGATGCGGGGATATGGGAGCTTAAAACTAGGGGACCCCGAAAAAGTGGGTATAGTTGGTGTTAGGTGTTTCTCGTTTCCACCCAAAAGGGTACCCTAAACGAAATGGTTTAGTATAGTATGTCATATGTTATATTGTATTGTATTATAATATACTATTATATATTTAATGTGTACATATATTTACGATCCATGCCTGCAGGTCCCCCGCCCTCCCCCCCTTCCCTCCAAGCTCTCCTTCGATTTGCAAGCCGCTTCACGTGTGCTTCAGGGTAGACTCCTAGTAGTACCTATCCCGCAGCCCCTGCGGTTTTCAGGGGGCTTTGAGTTGTACACAGATGACCCCCCCCCCATGCGGCAAATGCTCTATATCCGCAGATAAGTCCCCGTTCCATCCCATTCCGAGGGATGTCAACCGCGTACCTATGGGGTGGACGTCAGTGTGGGGAGAAGTGCCCCATGTAGGCAGGGAAAGTTCGAGAATGCGGACAAATTAGGCGATACCACAGTTGCTTCCAAATGGCCATTTGATTCGGGGCTTGTAGCAGGGTTGGGCCCCGGTCCAAACATGTTCAACCACCAACTGTTCCAAGAAACTCCTCTATCTTTGTTTCTGAAGGGCCGTTGGTGCCGGCAATCCTGGGGTAGAAATCTCTCAAGCCAACCGCCCACCAACCACGTTGCACGAAGCGCATAGCCCACACCTGTCATTGTCCACAGCCAGGACTTAGCTTTCTGGTGCGATAGGTCGGGAATGACCGAGTCCGGGTTGGGAATGAATCGGAAGGGGATTCCCCTGCAGGGGATTCCCGTTCTCGGGGTTCCATTTCTCATGCATCTCAGCAGCAAGTTCCCTGTCACTTTCGGGCCTTAGCTCCAGCCAGGTGGTGAGACTGGCTGTGGCCAAGGACGGCTACGCGCTGCGCTACGCCTCCCCCGCACTCCAGGCGAGAGGTTCCAGAAAGAGCGCCAGCGGTTGCTCGAAGCTGAGGGCGAAGCGAAGCGTTTTTTTGAGGTCCGAGACGTCTCACTTCCCGAGGTCTTGGACTTGAGCCACTTTTTGGAAAGACCATCTTGGTGTCAAGCAAGAAGTTTGCGGTACTTTCTTGGGCCAACCCACTCAGGAGAGGTTGAACTTCCAAGTTTCGGGGGTTGTCCAAGTGAAGCTTCCCACTCAAATAGGGACACTTCGTCACTTCGTCGTTGCGACTTGTTTTTGTGACCTGAGGGTAAGACGAGCTCACTATGATGTACTGTAGGTCCTTTCCCTTCAACTCTCAATCATTTCGGGTGTTGGAATGATTGTCCAAACTACAAGAACAACAACCCCAGGTTCTCTAGCTTGGATGTTTAACCTACTGACTTAGTAAGTAGCTTAGAGTCATTCTTATTCGCCCACCAACCCCTACTTGCATCATGATTATGATGCATCTACTATGTAATTAGGTTTGAACATCCAAGTTCAATTTCCCCGTGGTGGGTCCACACAAGAGAAATCACTAGAGTCTCCTTCATTCAAAATTGTGCAACCGCGGTCAACTTTGAGGCCGGTTGCTTTAGACCTGGTGCCATGTGCCACACATGGGCCAGTTACAAGGATCCGTAGGGCTAAAAAAATCACCCCATGAAAGTTTCTTGTGGTGTTCTTATTTCCCGTTGGAAATTCTCGCAATTTGCCCGGCCCATGGGGAGCTCATGGCGGGTGTCTGTCTTTTTTGAAGGCACCTTTGGTTTGTTGTAGAAGGACGCCGAAAACAATCCCCCCGCCATTTGGTGGGTTCCATATCCCATTTTGAGACAAACTCATATCAACTCCTGAACTACATGGGGTGTTCATCCAACAGAAGGTTCTCAACCGGTTCACGCCAGGAAGACCTCGACATCGTGCACATGGCGCTGGCGCAGCAAGGCTACGCTCTGACCTATGTGGCGGAGAAGCTGCGTGCGGATCCGGACTGGCTGAAGCTTCTTCCGCGCGGCCGTGTCGCAATCTCTTTGGACCTTTGGGTTTTCCAACTTTGGAGGGTAAAAGCCCCAAAAGTTTTCTAGATCCTTTTGGTAAGTGAGAATGGTGTGTCTCTTTTCCCCTCCTCAGAATGGTTTTCCTTGTGGCTTTTTCCTTTCAACCCACAGAAAAGGCACACTCAAAAAAAGACACACTCGAAGAAGGAAGTTCCGCAATTTCCCTTGGACGTCCAAGATTGGAAGTTTCAATGGATCCCAGTACAAAATCCAGTGACGCCCAAGACGAGAAAAGCGACCATCAACTGGGGTGCGTAGTTTTTGGGTTTTATCCATGTTGGGTTGGTTTGCAGGGGAATGGAAGGGGAGACCGCGCCATTTTGAAGGGAACCCCTTTGAGACAGACCCAAGTCTGGGAAAAGGAAGAGGGGACAGCCTGAACCAGTTCTGGGCATGTAGCGAGCAGAAGCCAAAGCTGTATGGGGAGGGGGGGGAGCCCAAAAAGGCCCTAAAAAAGGCCTTGTTAAGGGCCTAATAAGGGCTTATTTGGGCTCCCAGCCCCCCCAGCCCCCATGAACATCACGGTTTGATGGCTAGACTTGTCCATTGTGAGAAAGTCCCTCCAGATCTCCTGAGCTGGTTCCTTGATGGGACATTAACATCGAGCTGAGTGTTTCTTCAGGGTTTTCTGGTGTTTGGATGTATGTTAATATGTCAATCGTTGAGCCACACGTGCGGTCAGATTTCTTGTAGTCTATGGTCCATTTCAGAGGGGCATTTGAGAAACTTACTAAGCTTCGAAACCATCAAAAAACAGGGACCTCTCAAATTGCCCAAGTTCTCTATGAAACAAACATTTTCCTTGCCTTGATTTTTTGTTGACATTTGAATCAGGTAACCCTGATTCACAGGGTGTAGTTTTGAACATCACCTCTTCCACCAACTCACATCTTCCATTTGGTTAAGAATATGTTGTATTTTCCCCTGTTGGTTTTAAGGGGAATCTATCACTACTGGAATTATTATTATTTTCCCCTGGGGACTTAAGCAAATGGAGGAGATTGATCTTCCTTTTGACGGGGTGATGCTTGGGGAGATATGGGGAGCCCTGTATGGCTCACTCATGAAGCCTGCGCCAGGACATCGTGAAGCTCGCCCTGCAGAAGTCCCCGCGTGCTTTGGCGTACGCCGCAACAAGCCTCAGGGCCGACAAGGACATGGTGACCTTCGCAGTGGAGAGAGATCCTTCCATTTGCAGGGCGTGTGGTGGGTCCGTCGTTTTTCAGGTTGCCCACTGTTGGGGTTCCTTCAACGGAGCTGTCTGTTGAGATTGCCCGATTCTGTTGTTCCTTACTTGCGGGACCCTTGCTGTTCTTCCTTGCAACAGGACTAGGTTGCGAACTCTTTCGAAGTGTCCTGTCGTTCTCGCCATGTCCTGGTCGGGTTGGTCCGGAGGCCCCTACTCGGGCGTGGTGCCCCTTGGAAACTAATTCGCTTTTGGGAACAAACTCCTGGGATTTTGGGCCTCATGAATCTGAAATCCATGTTGTTTCTTCCTTACGCCCTTCGGCTATGAACTTCAACGCCCTTCGGCTATGAACTTCAAAGGAGAACCCATACAAAAAGTGGTGGTGGACAGATCCTCATGGTTGTTTTTGTCCGCCGGATCCCTGATTGAATTTGTTTCATAACCGTTTTTCTTAGTAGCTGGTGTTCCCTGTCTTATTCTTGTTTGGGTAGCTTTACGTGATTTGTCCTTGGTAGTTTCACATCCCATGCCATTTTTCTTGCGTAGTTCCACATCCCATGTTGGTCCATGTTCATGTTACCGAGGATGTTGCCCCAAATGCCACCAACTGGCCCCAAAGGATCCCTTATTTCCTAGTGTCATGTCCCATGCCAGCTTTCTTTGATAGTGTTGATTTGTTCCATGTCGTTGTTGTTTTTCCTCTTTGGAGATGCAAGTAAACCGATACCATCATAGGTGTCCTTTTTGGTTTGGTCGAAAAATAGGTGGCCCTGATGGCCCTGGTTTACCTGGTGGTTTAATCATCTACCAGGGAAGCCCATCTAGTTCCCCTAAAAGGACACCTATGGATACCAGCATTGTGGCATGGGAAGCGGCCGGCAGATGTTGTAAGGATGGGATCGCCCTGCGGCACGCGTCCGCGGACCTTCAGGAGCAGAGACTCAGCGTCGCCTTTCCTTCCAAAAGAGCTCCGTTTCAGTATCAGTGCCAGTGGCATGAAGCGAATCGGGTACAGGTCGATAGCATCCATCTGACGTCATCTGACGTCATCTGACTAGCACCATTTGGGCATTGGCATTGCCTTCTTCTAGACCCCCGAAAATGGAGACTCTCCTTTTGGTTTTCCTTCAAAACCACCAAAAAGGGGTACTCAAAAAAAAGACACCCGCTTGGAGCGGTCGATTCCAAGCTGTAAGACGTAGGTTTCGTCCAGTTAATGTAGCATGGCTCTTTTGTTACGCGCATACAGTCCTCAGAGCCCATCATGATGTGCGCACTTGTTGAGCAGCGGCCTAAACCATATGGACTTGAGCAAACGTCCGAGATTTCCTGGGATATTTGGAGGTGTTTGCGCATCTCACGGTGCCCGGTGAAGGTTGCTCTTATGCGGAACTCTTCTTTGGGGTTGATGACTTAATAATTTTCATTCGCACAGATTGGTGTGTGTCAAATTAGGGACACCACAAAACAGTGCTTTCCTTGTGGCTTCCTTTTAAAACCAATGTTGGGGGCACAAGACCGGAATCGCGGTCGCCGTTTTCTTTGTGAAAGCACTCTGTTTTGGGGTTGCTTTTAAGGAAAACCGAGCACAAGCTGGCGTTCCACGCGTCATTTGCAGTCAAACTCTCACAAGTAAGACAAACTCGCTGGATTTGGCAACTTTGTTGCCTGCTGTGGAATCCGTCTTCCTATCGACCACCTCGAACTTCGCTTTCTTGCAAGCGTCGCAGTCACGCTATGTCAAGCTGCAGTTGCGCAGCCCAGACGTACCAGGTTGGCTAACTCAGGTGAAAATTTGCAGAGATGTGATCACTTGCCCAACTCCAACCTTTTCGACCTTTTGGTTTTCGCCTCCTAGTCCATGTTTGGGCAAGGTTTCAGCAGGTTACCCTTCCGCGGAACATGGAAGCACACAGCTGCCCTTTGGGAAATAGTAGTTCCTCTGCACCACTTTGAAATTGTTGAGTTTTTATTTGTTGCCTTGGGACGCTAAAAAAAGGGACCAACAGGGGGAAGAACAGCTCAAATCCACAAAAGGCGAATCCAAGGAGAAGTTTAAGGTTCTCACACCCCGGGAATGGAATCAGTAAGTTCAGGCTTGACTACCGCCAGGATGATCCGGAGATCGTGAAGCTAGCCGTGGCGCAGAATGGCGCTTCCTTGGATTATGCCTCGGAGAGGCTCACAGGTTGCAACATGTGCAACAACCAGACTCGTCTTGGCCAGTTAAGGAAAACAATAAAGACAATGGTTCAACGATGGGAGCGATGGGAGCGATGGGAGAGTACATATGCAAGTGATTTGATTTACCTGTATACTGCATAGTAGGCAACTGTGTTTTGCGGCGTTCGCGGTGATGCTTAAAGGGAAATATAGGGAGCCCTTTGTTCGCACATATTGAAACAAAGGCCGATCACACCCTGCAGGCTCAAGAAAGAGTCAGAGCTCAAAGACATCTCCGAGCGAGCCTCGGCATACCAAGCTCAATGCGGCCGAACTGAGGGGCTGAAACACGTGCCCCTTGGAAAGACCGTACCCCTGATATTTGCAACATACATTATGCTTTGAGAGATGTGGGTATAAGGGTCAAAATGAGGGGTACCTACTCCTCCCGTGGCTGAGTTCTCAGAAAACTCGTGGTCATTGGTTGCTTTATAGTTGGACCGTTTGCTGTTGAACCTTTCGGACAATTATGTTAGTGTACACTCGCCAAATCAAAGCGCTTTCTACGCGCGTTTAATTGAAGACCAACCTTGGGTGATGGCTTCTGTCTATGATATGTTTCGTTCATTTACACAAAGCAACAAGCCCCTGGCTTCCGTGTGTTCTATGAGGACCTGGCAACCTTGTGGTTTGACATTGTTGAACCATGTGGGGTTGTCGTCGAAAGCCTTCTTTGTTGGGGGGGGAGACCCCCCCAAAACAAAGACACCCCCCTGTCAATCCATTGTTTTGTTTTTCTGGCGCCAGGTGCTTCAGTTGCAAAGGAATCCAAACCCGAACCGCCGCACCAAGCAAGTCGGAAGGAACCCGGCCTCCAAAAACCGGCGTTCGTGGATTCGCTTTCAGATGTACCAAAAAAGGTGCCTTTTCTTGCTGGTGCTCAGTAAACCATAGGGAGTGGTTTATAGGGGTCATTCCCTCATTCCCTTCTGAGCACCAGCAAGTTTTGCCTTCTTCATGGCCACTAGAGCTCCTGGAGGTCTTGCAGACTTACATGACCCTTATGTGCATTGGTTTGACATTGGATATGGCTGCCTAGGGTGAAGCACCAACAGGTCCATATCAAGTCCTTCAACTTGCTATACTCTTTTTGTGGTTGACCGAATGGACACACTCCCATGGTTGGTTGCATTTGCCACGAAGGGGTTTCTTAAGTTTCCAGCCTGATTTGAACTCCCGTTTCTGTGCCGCAGCTTTTTGCATAGGCCTCCGAGCAGGCTGTTTGTGCCACAATGTCAACTTCAGAACCTGGAGGGTCCTACCAATCAAGAGGTTCCCTAGTTTAGGAAGTGAGTTAGCTTGGAGGCGCTTAGATGCGTCTTCTCACTCGGGTTCGAACTCCGAAGATCGCAACGTTCATTGGCTGTTGAATCCGAAGCTCGTTGCGCCTTCCGCTTCTACCGGAAGGCGGCTGCAACGAGCTAAACCAACAGGAAGTTCATAGAATACCCGTGGCTTCAAAAACAGCAAGCCAAGGGGCCCTTATTTTTCACCAGACTCCGGTTCTTCTCCCAGTTTCTGCGTGGATCCACACCCTCTTCCCCCCAACCCCAGAAAACTTGCTGGCGCTCAGCAGGGAATGAGGGACTGAGCCCCTACCCATCCATCTGGTGGTTTCCTTGGAAATCCCCCGGTTTTTTCCTTCCATTCCTCATTTCCTACCTCTCGCAGCCACTCCCAAAACTGGCCAAGTCCACCGAGGCTCTCTGCGCAGGTTTTATCGGAAGGCCTCCTTCTTTTTCAAGCTGTTGGCCCTGGGCCAGCTCCTGCTGCGGGGCCGCATCGCTCTCTCCCGCGCCTGGCGCTTCCTGCGCCGCAAGCCTAAGGAGTCCGAGTGAGGCGAAGGAAGCGGCGGGACGTAGCCCGCTTTGACCAAAGCGACCGAGAACTGGCTGGTGCGAGAGA